TAAATTTAATCAGACACGAAGAGATGCGTAAAGTTACCCGTGATTTAGGAAGTTACTGTAGTTGCACAGGGCGATTCCTATTAGTGTGCAGACGCTTTTCATAACAATAATATAAGACATAGGGTCAAAATGGATGCTAGGCAGGGACACTGTTTGGAGCCGAAAATTTTTTTGTGCTTCTGCCAGATGATGGCCGATGCATTTTTACTCCATTTATAGACTGGGTATAGTTTCGTCGCCTAGCTTCTGAGTTGAATGCATGGCGTGACACTGTGAGCTGCGGATTTAATTTGGAATTTTTTTTTTCGAATGTGACCAACGTGTTGGTGTGAATTGTAGATTCAGAAACTAGCGCGATGCCTGTTGTGCAATTTTGGTGGTGCCCGTATGTGATTAAAATTGATCGCATGGGTAACTGCTGATCTGTTGGTGACTTCCTCTACCATCAATGATGAACTGCACTTCTAATGTCGGACTGTTTGTGTTAGCACTTCGGATGGCTATCGTATGCTTTAATGCGAGTGTATGCTAGATATGCTGAGACAGCAGTCTGTCAATCTTTCCACAAGGGAATGTGATAAACATTCTGTGTGTTTTTCGTTGGCACAGGAGCGGAGCAAAGATGAGGTGACCCGTTTACTATGAAGCTGAAACTAAGACTACTACCAGACTACCAGTTCGATCTAAATATGGCGGAATATGTCACGTAATGATGACGTTTTAAACAAGTAGCCTCTATGAAAATGTGTATGCATTTCACTGCTGCTCGATTGCTGTGTATACATTGTTTTTGGCGAACTTTGTTTCAGAGGACACAATTCACAATCTGTCCACTGATATAGCTAGGATCACCGAACAAGAATGTTAATGATGAACACGGACAGTTCATAATTCTTCCCAAGTTTCTCTTTTGTTTGGACCCATCAACATTCACGTATATACCCAAAAACCAAACCTTAAGAGTTTAAATTACTATTTGTACAATATTGAAGTGTTGTTCGTCCATCACTAGTGATGAAGACCACTCTCATCAAAAGTAGTAATGATCAATGGTTATGAGTACAAATGTGGATAATTAGTCCAATATGAGCCAGGAAAGTTTTTGACAGTGCGGACAACAGATGGAAGCCGCAGTAAATGTGGAATTAGCAATACGATTCTTTCTAGTGTGCATCCGTTTCACTGCCTGTGCAACATTAAAGTACCCTCTGTCAAAGCTGGTTGGAAAACTCCGTTAGAGCTGATGTATGCGATATGTGAGCTACAAGTCCGAATAAACATATTGTCATAAAATATAGTCCTAGCTGATTCACCTAATTCAGCTTTGGCATATGTAAAGTCTAAGATGTGTGCTTTTGTACTAGCAGCCAAGGACAATAGAATCTGACTACACCATCGTAGTCACCTGTAGACACACTTGACTTGATAGAAGAAACAAAAATAATAAACTTGGACTCTTCAATGTGCCCTGAGGGCCTCATTATACTTGGGTCTGTGGTTTCTGAGTGGGTTTAAATGTCCTTTCTCTTGTAGCGTGTTGGTACGCCTGACCGTTCCTGAAAGGTACATTGCTGTCACTGATTAATGACAGATCTCCATCTGATTTATATACATTTGGGTCTTGGTGTCAAAAGACAATCTACTTGCCTAAATACGAACTTGATTACGATATTAACTTGAGACTACTCTGAACAGTTAAAGAAAAACGGAAGAATAGAGTTACTACATCTGGCAAAGATTGACGTGTACTGTTCACAGAGGCAGTTGAGTTGTGTAGTTTAACTCTTATAGTACTGAGCAACTCATCATGCGTTTGCTGGTTACTCTTTATATGCTATGGGTTACTCTTTATATGATATGGCTTACTCTTTACATGATATGGGATATTCTTTATATGATATGCTCTATAAACTATTCAGTGATCGTGCATTTAGTACATTAACACATTCCGTTCTAATCTTTATTATTTGAACCCGTTCAGACGCAGACATGTATTACTTTAAAATAACAAAGTTTTAGAACATAACGAGGTAAACAAATGTCTGAATAGGACTGGAAGAGTTATCTTGCAGTTATGAGACTCAGTATTCAGTTCGGATTCCTCAGAATGCTATATGCTTTGTCCAGAGTTGATCAGACCAAATGGAACTGGAGGATCTCTTCAAAGAAATATTCGCAGTTTATGATAAAGATACATTTGACATCAAACTCCCAAAAAAGGAAATCAAAATTAGAAAGTAAGAAAAAGAGATAATTCACAACTACTTTCCTCCTTTATCCTATCTCATACATAGCGGTCTAGAGTAATATGAAGGCCTAACATTCCATTTTCACATAGCAGTGTCTGCTATGCGTTGTAAAGCTCCAAGGGTCGATTCTACTCTGAGGAGGTAGGAGGTGTCTCAGCGGCCAATATAATGTCACTAGGTAGTAATGTCAACTCCGGCAGTTATACATGTCAAGTAATCTAATGATTTAGGTAAATTAAAGTTCCTCGCAAACGAGTCCACACACGTTCATCCAAGGAACGACCCACACAGCAGCAGCAACCGCCATCAACTACCTGTACTGGCGAAGACATTCGTGCATATCGGCACGCGTAAAGAGGATGCCAAATAACTAAGAGCATACGTTCAGCACACCCAGATAATTATTGAACAGATCTCACTCAATGTTGAAAAAAGACAAAGCTGCGCTGCTATCAAATAGTCACGTTCACAACACAGCTATTTAGTGCAGACCAGCAGCCCGCTGCCCACCTAACCATCGTAGTCGCATGTAGATACAGAACTCTGTCTGATTTATATTCACTTCTGCCTTGGTGTCAAAAGACAATCTACTTGCCTAAATACGAACTTGAATACGATATTAACTTGCAACCTTTTTTTCCTTGCCTAAATCATGCACTAAAATGTTATGAATGGTCTCTCTATTAACACCAGATTCATCTGCCATCATCCTCACAGTAAAACAATTATCTTTTTCTATCCTTTCTCTGACTTTTGCAATGAGTTCATCATTACGAACATAAATTTGGCGTCCAGGTCTAGGTGTATTAGAAATCATTGCTACACCACTTTTCAATCGTGAATACCACCTGAAAACTTTTGCACGAGATAAACAATTATCCCCATAAACTTGTTGCATCAATTCAACTGTTTAAAGAGCACTTTTTCTGAGTTTTAAAAAGAATTGAATGTTAGCTTTGTGCTCCGTGCTGATGCACAACCATGCACCGCTGACTAGGTCAACAAAATGGCGGCTTGTTTGTTGTCTGCTTATCCAGCGGAGATGAAAAGTTGCCAGATCATAGATAAATGTTGCCTCTTTAAATTCCATGCTTGGCTTCTTAGATGGCATTTTTGTCTTGACCATAATAAAATCAGTCTCATTACTTAATTGTCGGAAGTTGCATGGTTCCATGTAATACGCTTACCTTTTGTAATATTTAGGCCAATAAATTCTGCATTTTTACACATGATGATTTTTTAGTCGTTATATATAGTGGTAATATAATAATATAATACAAATAGGAAGAACTCCACAGGGGAGGATACACAGCAGGAGTTCACGTATAATCAGTAAAGAAAAGATCCTTCGTCGGCGATTGTTGCGGCCCATTACTTCCTATACAATCTCGGAAAATGGGCCGACCTGGGTCATGAAGCCAGGCCTCGATCTTCCCCTGCTGCACTCAATCGGACTCTCGCCCGGCTCTCTAGCGTAATTGGCTAAACCGGGTGACGAACTCCTTGTGGTCCGGTTCAATCCCGGGGGTAGGCAGGAAAGCCACATTTTCTCCCAGATTTACGGTATTTACAATGGAATCAAGGCCGAAAGGTTGCGATATCCATAATACCAAGCCTAAGGGTTAACAACTCATGGCTTCTGGATACTAAAAACAAAAATCGGACTCTCAGGCAGGGACAAGACGATATGTTGATTTTGCAACAGGTATTGTGAGATTTGGTGCAATGTTATGGCTGCGGTAGAAAATTAGCTGTTTATCTTAACGACCAGAGCGACAAGCTTATGGATGGTTTATCGGAAAGGTGTTAGACTTTGTTATTTGGCAGAGACAGTGGCAGACACTTCTCGGACACTTTGGCTTAAAGGGATAAGAAGCTCCTCTCAACTAGGAACTCGGACCAGTCTATCGAGCCCCCCCCCCCTCCCTAATGACGTTTCGTTGCGTCCAGAACCAACTAAAAGCCATTTCAGCTGCTTCGCCCAGTTGTTGGACCCGAGTATCGTTTCCGGTGTCTTTTATCTGCTGTATTACCATGTCTCTATGCTTTTTAGGCCGTGGCTTTGGACCACCATATGACTTTCCCTTGCCCTAGGCCACGTCAGTCGGTTTGTGTTTAACCCATGACTTCCTTCAATTTCAGTAGTTCCTGCGCAGATTCTATCTCAGCAACGACCTTCTATTTCGTAAATGTCTTTAGAGCGGGTTGAGAACCGTTGCCGTAAAGGATGTGCCACTAACGTTTATCTCAATCACACAATCAAAACGAACAAAATGGTCATGTCATCTTCTTCTAGCGTCAGTTCTCTTGTCGATATCTCCTTGTCACTTTGACCTTTACTTTTCCATTGTAAGGAAGACCGTACAAGTTCTTGACAGTCCCTCCTCCAAGATAATGTGTTTCTACTCCCTTGTATTTGGACGTGAATTCTCCTCTACGGACTGTGTGGACAAAACAAGCCAACAGTTTGTCCAGCACAACTGCATTTTCAATATTGACCTTTCCAAAATAATCAAAAACGCAGACAGAAGACCGACAGACTAGCGACGAAACAAACAATGAAACCAGACAGCGTAATTTGTTTTTCCCCACCACAGCTATAAAACCTTTCATATTTGTATTCTCCTGTTCTCCCACTGGGGTAAAAGAAGCCAGGATAGAGAACCCAGCATACTTCTCTGGAAGAGCTGACAATTTTGGAAAAGCTGTCTTCTTTATTTTCTAATATAATACATTTATTAACTTCTTGGGATGATTTCAGTCAGCAGAATGATTCAGTTCAAATGTCTTGTGATTCTGGTATTGAGTATTAGTGCAGTTATGTCGCAGCGTTCATTATACCAACAAAATAGTTATGAAGACCTTCGGCGTCAGCAACTGCAGCAGACGCGACCAGCACCATCCCAACAGCAGAAGAGCTTTCCGGATCATGCCCAGCAACAGCGACCAGCTGTCGAAGACACCTTTGGTGCAGATCTTGGCTGCAAGGATCCATGGACGACAGAGTGGACTAGAGATCCCAGTGATTGCACAAAGGTTTGTCCACACAAAAAAATCACATTCTCAGAATATGTCTTTTTCCATAAATGCATTATTTCGAGAAATGCTTTATTTGTTATTCCTTTTTTTATGTCAACCTATGAACCAGGATAGACTTTTGCTCACCCCTACAAATGAAAATGACCTGTGTTGTTGTATGTTTTACGCGTAATCAAAGCAAGCTAAAGAAATCTAACAATGCATTCGCTTTTATGTTTTTTTTTTTTTAAAAAAAAAAAAAAAACAATACAGCTATTTTTTTTTTCTTGAGCTCGCTTGAAAGTGACTTTTTTATTATTGTTAACCTAACTCCCATTTTCCCCAGTGCATTAGGTAAGGTCAATATTTGAACCCACCAGGACATCACACAGAGCGATAAACACCCGGTGACACAAAGTGCCACTATGTGGATGAGCTTCACCCGTGGAGTATCCCAAAAACTCCGTTCAAAATGTAATACTAATCTCACTGTTACACATAAAATGTATGAGAGAGAGAGAGAGAGAGAGAGAGAGAGAGAGAGAGAGAGGATGGGGAGAGGGGAGTTGGGGAAACAGGCTGAGAGAACGAGAAAAGTGTCGACAAGCGAGAAAAACTAAGAAATAGAAAGAAACAAACAACATAATAAATACAGACCCAGTGTCAAAAATTAAACAAATTAACAAAAAGGAGGTAAGAAAATCATTTCTCGACATTGGCTTTCAGACATATGGTGCTACAGCCATTATTTTATAGACCAGTCAACACCCTATTAGTGATATCGTCACTACACTAACCGCCTTTACGTCTCCGAACGTCTCCTGATACCCTATATCTAATAACTTATGTCCTATCCGTCAGTAGCTTGTAAAGGGCCATGTTTTTGTTTTGTTAACATTAGCTGTTGAGTCGTTAATATGGCTCTTAAGTAATTAATTGTCCTAAGTGGATAATTTTCATAAATATCTCTTCTTCTCATTCTGGTGAAACATTTTGGGTATTGTTTTCTTCCACTTCGATTATATTTCTTTTATCGTTGTAACAACGTGCATCGTTGAAGACAAGAAACACCGTGGGCTTGTAAAGTCTTTCCTTTCGCTAGTTTACAAACTCTTTTGTGTGTATGCTTTAGTTTGTAATTCCTGGATATTGTGATGAAGTTTAGTCAACAATAAATGTACAGCTTGTGTATCTTTTTTTTTTTTTTTAAATTTAAATTTTTGTTTCTTTGTCTACTAATTTTATACGATTCTGTCACGTCTAGATGACAAACAGATAAATCAGATTGAATGGCTGGTGCATCGTTTGTGGTATTTTGTTTTCTATTGTTGTTTGTGTGCATGCGGCTTTTAAAGTTTCACCCCACCACCTTTTTTTTTTTTAAATGTGGTTTCTTTTTTTTTTTTTTTAAGATGTGGCCATTGTTGAGGTTTTCGCCAACTGACTATATGCAGCGACAATAAACAAGCCCGTATCACATTTTTCTTTTATTTCTATGAGATTTAATATAATGTTAAAAAAAACTGTTTGATGCACACACACACACACTGCCTCACACAAATTCGCACACACAAACTCATACACACTTACACACACACACACATATATATATATATATATATATATATATATATATAGTATATATTATATGTAAGTATATGTATGCTATATATATATACATTTGTGAATGCATGTATATATATATTGTGACACACACCACACACACGACACACACACATATATATATATACATCTATATATATATCTATATATATATATATATATATATATATATATATATATATACAATTTTGATATTTGCCTATGTATATGTGTGTGTATGTGTGTCTGCTCAGATATAAATTTGCTATGATATAAAACAAATCTGCAATCTATTTGGCAGGTCCACTTCTGCATTCAGGGCAAGAAACAGTGGACCATCAACTGTAACGATACCCGAATCTGGTCTAACGTTGGACACGCATGCGTGGAGCCGATGTCTCAGTGGGATGACTGTAACCAGGTGATGACAACACCCACTCTCAGTGCGTACCCTTGATTTATTAATTATAATCATCATGTTGTTGTTCCTTTGCAGACCGTCGTTCCTATCACGGCCTACCTAAAAGCATTTTGTGTGAGTTTCCTTGACAATTTGAATCAAGTGTTTTCCTGCCCCAGGTATCTATAATGTTCTGCGTCGATCTTCGTTGTAATCGACCTGTGATCCATTTGTTATATATGCAAGTTGTACCCCACCAGGACATCACACAAAGCGATAAACACCCGGTGACACAAAGTGCCACCATGCAGAAGAGGATGAACCGTGAAGAGGTCCCGGACATCCCGTTCAGCCATCCCCTCCCCCACAAGCAAAATCCAGGGTGGGGCTTCAAATAACGAAAAATTGCGTCTCACATGGGGACGGCAACATTGACCATTTGATTTAGGAACCGCGTCCTCGATTACTGGGGACAGTACACATAATTATGCAGAACAGTATCTGTGAATAGATAGCGCCATATTGACACATCATGAGAAGAAACGAGAATCACCAAGCATGGATTCAATCATCATCATCAGTTTACTTTATGCCTAGTGGCACATGAGGCTTCAGAGAGGACTATTTGTGTTTTCCTGTCCTGTGCAATCTTTAGTGCAGTTTTCCGTGTCAGAGATGCCGCACTCAGTTCACTTTCCATCATTCGTCTCCATGGATTGAAAGAGGAATCTTGGGTATTGAATGTTGAATGTTGAATTAAGAATCGACATCACAGAATTCGAGACACCCCTATAAGCGCTCCCTCCCCATCTTCAGCAGCAAGTGTAGAGTTCCAATTCCGATGGCATCATATTAGATTTTGAGGAAACGAGGACGTCCAAGGCAAACCAAAAAGCGAATGTTGACGAAAGAAGACAGGATGTTGATATGGATTCCATTCATGGTATTGATGTGAGTTCACATGATAGAAAGGAGTGGGGAAATCATCTGTGGGCCCTATGTGACTTATCATGGTCATTGTTCATTTTAGAGATCATCTTTTCCGGACCATAAATGCTCCGATTTCTTCATGAGTGTGTCTCCAAGTATTTTTAAGCTGACAATCCCATTCTGATCTAGTTGATTTAATGAAAAGTTTTCCTGTCCACGGCTTAAATTGGTACTTCAGGGTGTGCAGTCTTTTCAGTTAAAAAAATCACGAAACCGAAAGCCTCACAGAGTTTAGTCTCTCGTATGGCATTGATTATGTCTCTCCTGTTCGTAGAGGGCCCATTCGTGATGATCGCACTGCCAGCCAGAACACCTGCTCTCTCATTGCCTTTCACACCAGCACACTGTGGGACAAAAATGCAATAATCTTCCTCTTCTTCTTCTTCTCGTTCACCAGCTGTACACTCTGGCGGAAAGCTCTGGTTGCTCGTCCACTACTGAACTGCTGTCCGGCTCCAGAACCTGAGTGTTGCGTGCGATCCAGTTTTACAGATCTCATTCTCTTGAATACAGACTGTCGGTTCCTTGCCTCTCCGGCAGATGCACTCCGACTTCAAAGGCAGCTCCCCAATTAGTCGACTCTTACGACATACTTTTGGGGAGTCAGTGGGTCTATTCTTGTTTTCCTCCACAATGGGGCCCCGGAACCCACAACAATGAAAATGATTCTGCGAAACGCTGCGTGCTATATCAGATGGAGCCACTGTTTCCGTAAATACCTTAACTTGATCTTCTGTAGCGCGCTTATTAAGTCGCGGAGCAAACATGCATTGGTGAATTCCTGAGTTTTCAGCAATTCTAAGGTCATTATCACAACCATGACCTCCATTGTCATTCTGCTGTTGGTTGATGCAAAGGTTCTATTGTCTTCAGTGACTTTCCCCTTGGTACTTGCCGTGAAAGCCCATGTAGTTCGCTTCTGACGAATCACAGAACTGTATGTATATATAGTAGCATCTTCCGGTGATGTGAGTTCCTCCACCAATGATTTCACTTCTGCATCAACTATTCGTGGCGCTAAATCACAGCACTGTCTTGTCAGTTTGATAACCACCATAAAGTACTGATTGTATTCATTTAGTATGGGTATCCATTCCTTTTTTTTTTTTTTTTTTTGAAGTCCCACCCTGGCCTCTGCCCGGGGCCCTGAATATAGCCAAGCTATAAATATGGCCTAGGCGATAAATATGGTCTAACGGCCAAAAAGGGGTTTCTGGGACCTCTCCACGGGTGATCCTCATCCGCATGGTGGCACTTTGGTCACCGGGTGTTAATCGCTTGTATGATGTCCTGGTGTTGTACAACTACATACTAGGGCTCTACCGAATAGTGATTTTCACTATTCGGCCGAATACGAATAGTGGGACAAACTATTCCGCTGAATACGAATACGAATAGTGTATCATCATCATCAGGTGTCTTGCCGACCTTGACATCAAATCTTTTTCAGGTTAATAAGTAACTTTACTGTTACTATCAGCCACAGTTAACTTTATTGTCTGTGAAGAATATGATTGTGGAATTTTTGGGTGGAGTTTTTTTAATGTCTTCAGACATATAAGGAAAGACACGGGAAAGAGCGCAAATTTCCTGCTATACTTTTCATCCAATAAAACAACGTAATTTTCAGAAGTTCAAAAAAAAAAAAAAAGGGGGGGGGGGGGGGGGGAAGTCCACTGTCCTTTTCACTCCGCTGAATTTCACTTTTATGCTTACTTTCAATTTTATGTTTACTTTTATATGAAATAATGTAAATTGACAAATCTCTACAATTCTAGAAAAAAAAAAGTCCTCTTTAAATAGAGTCAATATTTTATAAGTGTGCGCCTGATAAAATAGTGAATATTCTGTGATGATGAATAGGAGTCTTTAAAAAAAATGTTAGCTTTTTTTTATTTTTGCCTCTGTGAAGGAGGTTTTGAGCCCGCGGTTCAGGGCCTGTGGCTAGTGCAGTCGTTCTTAACAGTAAAGTTCTAGATTGTTTGAATACGTAAGCAGGCTAAAAAAAAAAAAAAAAAAACTCAGTTGAAAGTCAACCTATTTTAAAAAAATGTCACATCAAGGATTCCGTTATAATATGAAATAAGAAATCTCCAAGGCTACACCACACACTCATGAAATACTATACCTATGTTGATTCTGTCGGCGTCCGTGGCTCAGGTGTTGCGAACGCGCCTGGTAAAGTCGGAGTGCCGGCTTCGATCCCAGCTGCAGGCGTTGCGCCTTACGTTGGTTTCGACAATGGTTTTGAGAAGTCGCCCATCCAGAAAGCAATGGCAAACTACTGGACGTAAATTTGCCTAGAAAAATCACAACAGTAAAAAAATACTGTGGTTGGTTCTGCAACGTCCTGCAAAGGATACACAACTAACTATGTGTATTCTCTGTACGAAATTATATACATTTATGAACATAGCTTGGGGAAAATTCGTATTTACTGTTAACATGCTTTGCAGAGGTGAAAGTACTATAATGATACTAGTTTAAAGGGGTACTCATTTAAAAAAAAACGAATATAGAAATCAGATTACGCACTAGACAATAGTAAAATATAAAATTAAATCTCCATAGGATTGTTCTTTTTTGTAATTTTTTTTAATTAACTTTTATCTGTTTATCCCTTATTATATATATTGCTTTCTCTAACTGTCTTATTTCTTTCAAGCTTTTCATTTCTTGTGCATTCTTTTGCTCGGCCAATATTCGGCCAATACACATTTGACAAGTTCAAAACACTTTCAACTTTTTGTCTTCACGGAACGCTCAGCTAGGCAGTTTTCAATCCGGTTACTGATTCTGCTCAACCACATGTAGCGACCAACACACTGTAAGCGTATAATAAACTACACATTCAGCACACTGCAAATGGAGAACAATGCAGACACAATAGCTCAAAAGCTTGACAAAATGAAACACGCTGTGTGTAGGTGTATGGGGAAGAGAGAGAGAAAGAGAGAGAGAGAAACATTTAAGAGAGAGAAATCTAGCGACAGACAGATGAATAGATAGATAGATAGATAGATAGATAGATAGATAGATAGATAGATAGATAGATAGATAGATAGATAGATAGATAGATAGATAGATAGATAGATAGATAGATAGATAAGATTAAAGAGAGAGAGAGAGAGAGAGAAAGATATATTATAAATATATAGAGAGAGCTCTAATATTTTAAATAATTAAGGCACATATATAACCCTAAATGACAATGCCTATTTATCAGATGACCCCCGATGCTCCAACGAGCCCAACGGTATGAACCCTGATCCGAACAACTGTGCTCAGTTCCTGGCCTGTGTCAACATGACAGTGGTGGCCACCATGGAATGCCCTACCAACACCTTGTTCTCAACTAGGAACAATACTTGTGAGCTCAGCTTCGTCGTCGCCTCCGAGTGTCGGGAAAGAAGCATTCCTGGACATGTTCTTGTCAGTAAGTAGAAGTTCTTTATTAATACTCCACAGAGGAGTATGCACAGCAGGGGTCCACTGTCATCAGTAGAAAGATTCTTCGTCGAAGATTGTTTCTACCCATTACTTCCTATACAATCTCGAAAGGTGCCCTGACCTGGTTTATGACTCCAGATCTCGAATTTAACCTGCTGCACTTTATCGGACTCAACAGGGACAAGACGATATGGTGACTTTGCAAAAGTTGTTGTGGAATTGGTGTTATATTGTCGCTGCGGTAGCAGACTAGATCAGTCGACTATCTTAAAGTGACAAGTTAACGGTCAGTTCATCGAACATGTGTTAGACTTTGGCATTTTGCAGAGAGACACTGGCAGACATTAATCAGACACTTTGACTTTTAAGCGAAAAAGCTCCTTTACATTAGGGACTCAGACCAGTCTACCGAGACCCATCCTACACGACGTTCCATTGAGTCCAGAGCCAGCTCGAAGCTCTTTTAGCAGCTTCGCTCAGCTGTTTTAGTGACCGTTTTCGACAGTTTCCTCTCTCATTCCAGCTGCCTTAGCACATTGTATATGGAAGTAGAGATAACTTTAAAAAGTTCGTCATCGGAATATATGTTAGGTTTGGGTGTGGGGTAGGCTTGGGTGGAAAAGAAGAAGAAGAAAAAAAAATGTGGGGAGTCATCAGTTGGGAGATCAATAATTTTGGGAAGGCAGTAATCAATGCCTAGGTTGCCAACGTTAGGGAGACAAAGGGAAATTTAAGACAGCAACCGCAGTTTTGGAAGAAAGAAAGTGGAGGAGGTTAGTCACCATTTTATAAACTGCACCATTGAGAAAATGCGATCGAGAAATTTAAAACAAGACTGCAATTTAAGAAGAAAGTGGAGGTCGGTAGTCACCATAAAAAATATTGTTAACATTGTAGAAAAAGCGATCTATACATATATTGATGGCTTTAAGAAGACAATCATATATTGGTAGACTTTAATGTGAAAAAAAAAAGTGAGATTTAGGCGAAGAAGGTAATCGCTTTAAGGTGCCTTATACATTTTTAGGAAACAGTAAACAACACGTAAGCTATAATTTTTAGAGACCTTTATGGAGATAGGAAGCAATAGGTATACTGCAAGCTTGAAAAAGATAGGCACCAATAAATAGACTGTAAACTTTAAGAGTTAAGGCATAGACTTTTAGATTTAGGTAGTTTGGCTGTTGGTTGTTGTGGCTTTTTCAGGCAAATTTTTCTTTTAGTAGTTTGCCACTGCGCCTCAATGTTCAGCTCTCGGTACCACTGTCGAAACTAACGCAAGACGGTCTGCTGCCAAATCCCCTGCAACTTAGATCAATCTGGCACTCCAGCATTACGAAACGCGTTCGCAATGCTTAAAAGCCACAGACATTGATGTTGTTAATAGATAGATTGTAAACTTTAAGGAGTTCCAGTTGTTGTTTTACTATAGGCTTTAAGAAGGCAGTAGTCAGGATACTGTAAGCTTAAGTAGGGCGCCACTACAGAGGACTCATTAGGTGGGAGTGGGTTGGTCTCCTTATAATTTAATTTTCTAGAGCGAGGATTGGGCGGGGGGGGGGGGGTGGATCATGGGGCTACGTAGTTTAAGTGTGCAATAATACTAGTAATATTTAATATTAATATGTACTAAAAACTGGCTGTCATCCAAAAAATAACAATAAATGGTGAAGAAATTAAAAATGTCACAAACTTTGAAAATCTAGGTTCTATAATAATTAACCATTTAGACTGTTTGATAGAAATTAAAAGGAGGATGGCCATAGCAATGCAAAGATTAAACAGCCTAAAAAGCATATGGTTAAGCACCAGCAAGGATATCAAAATTAGAATTTTGAGAGCATGCATCTTCCCTGTAGCAACATACGGACAGTCCACGTCTCCAAGTCCTTAAGAAAGAGAATAGGGGCTTTTGAGCTGAAATGCTATAGAAAGATTCTCAGAATATCCTGGACGAAAAAGAGAAGAAATACTGCCATCTTGAAATATCTGAACATCAAGGAAGATTGGCTAATAAACAGCATCCTGTCCCGGAAGCTTACATATTTTGATCATATCAAGCGCCACACTGGATTGGGGAAAAAAAATATAGCAGAAGGCATGGTACCAGAAAGAAGGGGCTGTGGCCGACCAACACAAAGATGGGCACTGGATTTAATTGACTCCTTTAGTATAAAAACGCATGAGGCGGGAGAGCTGGCGAGAGACCGAGTTTCTTTCAGGCAGACCGTGATGAAAGCGGCGTTCTGCAAAGGACCTGCTACATGATGATGATGTGCTAAACAACAACATGTAAGAATATTCTTTAAATAGTATGAATTATATAAACAGATATGTACAAATAGAACGTCTATAAGTGGTAAGGGGGAGGGGCCACCTATCTTCCTGCCATTATTTTAGTAGGGTTTGGGGGTGGGAGAGGCTCAATCCCTGTAAGCATTATAAGCGGCCTGGGTGCTTGGTCCCCCCCCCCCCCCCCCCCACACACACACACAATCAGGAGATGGATGGCTCTTGGCTCCTTATCATCCCCCCGTGTTTTGGTACCCCTGATCTTAAGAGTAATAATCAGTGAGTAGCAAGAACTTTTAAACACACAGGTCACTAACGTAAAGATACCATTTTTTCTTCCCCACAGCCACTGCCAGCCCAATCGTGGACAAGCCGTGCGAGGGAACATCAAACGGAGACGTGGGAGATCCTGGTCACTGTGCTCGCTTTTACAAATGTAACTACGGAAGAGTAGTTGCCCGTATCCGTTGTCCTGCCAACAGCGCCTTCAACGAGGAGAAGAAAAAGTGCGACTGGCGCCAAAATGTGGATTGTGGAGACAGACCCATTTACTGATCAGGATATGCTGATGGCAGTGATATATCACCAGGACATGGCCTGACATGGCCAAGCTGAAACCCGCAAACGTTAGACGAAAATAATAGTCAACTAACTATCTACGGTTATTTTGGATTAATGACATTCATGATCTGGCCATACATCTTATTATTGTGTACGTTTATATTATATGCTTGGGAGAAAGAAACAAGTTCAAACAAAATTATATTTATACAGAAACTCACTTACCCACCCACTCACCCACTTACTCACTCGCTCACTCACTTATTTACACTTACTCACTCACTACCTCACTCACTCACACACGCACTCACTCACTCATTCATTCATTTAGTCATTCACTGACTTACTAACTTACTGAGTGACTAATTCCCTCACTTATTCACTGACTGACTGACTAACTGATGGACTGACTGTATAATTCACTCTCCTACCTCTCGCCCCTTTTTATATTTTGACTCACACCCACACACACAAACACACACACACACGAACACAAGACTTGTCAGTCTCTGTAGACAGTATTCTCCTGCTTATCTCGCATTCTCCAGAACCCTTTTCCTGTTCCATAACACAATGCTGTCCACAGATTTCTCTAATGCGTTCATTTCTAATCCATTCAATCAATTATTTATCACAACATATCCAAATTTGTCACACTCCTGGAAAATGGCCCCACAATTACAACAAGCTGTTTCAGTTGTTTTTAATAAGCTACTAGCGTAACTTAACATCTGTTAACATTACTTATGTTTGCTGCCCAAAGAGTCGTTAACACTGTTCTGTTTTTTTTTTTTAACGTATCCAGAAACCATGAGTTGTAAGCCCTTTGGCTCGGTACTATGGATATCGCAACCCTTCGGCATTGATTCCATTATAGGTACCGTTAATCTGGGAGAAATGTGGCTTTTCTGCCTACCCCTGGGAGTGAACCCGGACCACAAGGAGTTCGTCACCCGGCCGCCGCGAAAGTCAGGTTTAACCAACTTCGCTAGAGAGCCGGGCAAAACACTGTTCTGTAAAAACATATCACTGAGGCTTTAGGGAATGTTTCGCACTTTTACTGATTGCAAAGAAATCTCTCTCTCTCTCTCTCTCTCTATCTATCTATCTATCTATCTATCTATCTATCTATCTATCTATCTATCTATCTATCTATCTATCTATCTATCTATCTATCTATCTATCTATCTATCTATCTATCTATCTATCTATCTATCTATCTATCTATCTATCTATCTATCTATCTATCTATCTATCTATCTATCTATCTATCTATCTATCGATATCTATCTATCTATCTATCTATCTATCTATCTATCTATCTATCTATCTATCTATCTATATCTATCTATCTATCTATCTATCTATCTATCTATCTATCTATCTATCTATCTATCTATCTATCTATCTATCTATCTATCTATCTATCTATCTATCTATCTATCGATCTATCGATCTATCGATCTATCGATCTATCGATCTATCGATCTATCTATCGATCTATCGATCTATCGATCGATCGATCGATCGATCGATCGATCGATCTATCGATCTATCGATCTATCGATCTATCGATCTATCTATCTATCTATCTATCTATCTATCTATCTATCTATCTATCTATCTATCTATCTATCTATCTATCTATCTATCTATCTATCTATCTATCTATCTATCTATCTATCTATCTATCTATCTATCTATCTATCTATCTATCTATCTATCTATCTATTTGTCTGTCTGTCTGTCTGTCTGTCTGTCTGTCTGTCTGTCTGTCTGTCTGTCTGTCTGTCTGTCTGTCTGTCTGTCTGTCTGTCTGTCTGTCTGTCTGTCTGTCTGTCTATCTATCTATCTATCTATCTCACACACACACGTATGCACACATACACGTGCGCACACACACACACACGCGCACGCGCATACGCACACGCAATGACTTGTTTGGTTATAAATTATTCAGCACTTTAATGCACACAGACTTGTTAATTTCAAGGCAGATACAACATCACAATGGGATACAGTTATATCAAATACACACTGACCTTCTTTACGAGCCCAGATTTTATAACAGCGACGTAGAAGGCAGCTAGTTTTACTGCACACGTGGGTTAGAAACATACATAACTAAACCTCAGACATATGCAATTTCTAAACCTATTGAAACAAAGCTTGCCAACCATAATGAGATCAAAGGATAACTTTCTTAGGTAGCACTTTAAAGAATTGGGCTATTGAACTTATTATTGCTGATAGAATATTTTAATTTAAACTTAACGCGACAGTGTCATTCTCTTTTCTCATAGAATGAAAAAAAGGGGAAAAGGAAAGGAGAGGGGGTGGTGGGAGGAGAGGCGGGGGGGGGGGGGGGGGGTAAAAATTGTAATTTGGATTGGGTATTTAGAGGCAATAATATTTACTTTTTGATTCTGGTTCTATTTTTCCACTCTGACTTTTAATAATTGATACAAAATTATTTAGAAAATGTATACTTTAGGCTTTCCTCTTCAGTGTCTTTTGCAGCCAGCTGCTAGCACCGTTTTGTGTTCAGAACAATGATATTTTTTATGGCATTTTTTATGAACTGTTAAGAGAACACAATACGATATTTCTACGAAACAATAAAACGAACCTTACTGACCAAAGAATGTTGTGATTATTTGATAATTTTTGTGTGTGTGGATTTTTTAGACCGAATTCTTTCCTCCGACTTTTTTGTTTTTGTCATGGGAAGGGTTGTGGGAAAAGATAGGGGGGTTTCGTCCGCTTGCACAGTTTGTGGCGCTCGCTTGCACTATCCACAATGTCGTAAATCCTCAAACACACGATCATGCCAAACCCCCAACTCCCCTTTCTACACCTACCGTGAAGTTGTAGCCAACAAAGACCAGTGGCACCGACTCCAAAAAAACATTAGGGAAGTGGTCGATGATGATGAGGATGATGATACTTTGCTAAATGAAAAAAAAATCATATATATATATATATATATATATATATATATATATATATATATATATATATATATATATATATATATATATATATATATATATATATATGAAAAAAATATAGAATGAAAAACAAAACATTCTAAACAGTAATAGCTTTAAACATAACCAGGAGATTGATACAAAGCTTAAACATAACTAGAAGCCTACAAATCTCTTAGCCATAACAGGGAGCATGATACATCACTTAACCTTAATTAACCATGAGAATGATACATCTTTCAGCCATAACCAAAAGACTGATACAACACTTAAACATAACCGGGAGACTGAAACAAATCTTAGCAATAACCAGGAGAATGATAAATCACCTAACCAAAGCTAGGAGCTTGATACATCACAACCATAACCTGGATAATGATGCATCGCCCAACCATAACCAGGAGACTGAGACAACACTTAAACTTAACCAGGAGACTGATACAAAGCTCAGCAATAACCAGGAGAATGATAAATCACCTAACCAAAACTAGGAGCATGATACATCACTTAACCATAACCTGGATAATGATTCATCTCCCAACCATAACCAGGAGACTGATACAACTCTTAAACATAACCAGGAGACTGATACAACGCTTAAACATAACCAGGAGACTGATACAACGCTAAAACATAAACAGGAGACTGATCCATCTCGTAGCCATAACTATCAGAGTGCTACATCTCTTAGCCATAACTATCAGAGTGCTACATCTCTTAGCTATAACTATCAGAGTGCTATATCTCTTAGCTATAACTGTCAGAGTGCTACGTCTTTTAACAGTAATCCGTTGACTGGTACCTCTCTTGACAATATATAGAAAACTATAGACATCTTAAAGAAAGAAGCAGTCAGTGTTCGCCGCTCATGTGGCGAGTAGAGGCCCTGAAGAAAATCGTGATGATTGAAAAGATCAACAGTAGAAGAGTCAGAGGCAGACCAAGAGAAACGATGTTTGACGGACCAAAAGCAGTGTCATTGAGGAATATCATCAGCGGAGTTGGTTCAGAGTACCAAGGACAGAGATTTGTCTAGAGACATGAGCGCCCATTCCGTATGGCAGGGCACATAATGGTGATAAGTGTACATTGCTGATGTGGCTCTTTTAACGTCTTTTATCTCTTGAAATATTTAAAAAAAAAAGTGTTTTTTACATTTTGTTTCAAAGTGCAAATATCCGCCTATCTGATGTTTTCTGTATCTGACACTGACGGAATACTCAAAACAGGCGTGTCGCCTTGACTGTTAGACTTGGGCAAAAATGGCAACGTCTCTGTAGGATATGCAGTATTGATATAAGCTACATGGCGTTTCAGGTTATCTTGACTGCAGCTGCTACACTGCTCAACGAATTTTTCGCAAAAAACAGAATCTAAAAATAAAATAAAATAACAAATTACGATTTTCTACAGTGTCCGCCACTAGTGCTAGAGGTTCCGTGTTAAATCCCCGGTATGGGCTGGAATTTTTTCACGTGGACCTGCACTAGTAGTTCCCCCTGATCTCTGGGTAGTGAGATCGGACGCCCGTTTGCATTTTCGCGCACGTAAAAACTAAAAAACAAACTTTGGCAGTTGCAAATCGAAAAGAGTAGCCTAACGGCGCTGCCTGGGCAAAATTTGGAGTCAAAAATCTACCCAGTGTATTTCAGAATCCTCGCCGGTGCTACAGAGCCTGTGCTTCTTCGGACCTGAGTTAGAAGAAGAACAGAGCACTTATGGGTTACTACCCGTGTGCCATGATGTTGATCCGTTGTTCAAACTTCAAAGATGTCCAGTATATAAAACACATTCAGTATATTTTTCTCCCTTGTTCTACTATTATACGTAATGTGGCTGTTTGGCCAGGAGATGTGTTTGCTCAGAAGTATCTCTGTTAATCCTTAAGTTGATTATCAATGGCGATTATTTATCTCCGCAGACATATGCTCAAAATTTTGTCAACTTAAAACAGCGATTTTCCTCTCTAAATTTAGCAATAATACAGGCATTTATGTTTTTTCT